AGCCACTCTTCCAGTCACAATGCGCTCTGCTTCGGCCTCTGGCAGCAGCCAGTCCTGCCCTACATCTTCCCTCCAGCAGCCTCTCTTCCCACCGTTTTTCCATCCCTGCACCCCCTGCCCTAGGACCAGAGTCGTGGGATCGGATTTTATGTTCTCTGTTGGCTGTGAAACTTGTTTTTTGGCCCCTATGACCCGTGTCCGTACTGCAACATCTTCATCTCATGCGTTTGCATCATGACTTTCTTGTCTTCTCTCTCACTTCCCTCTGTGTTGGCTGCAGCTGGTCAGCAAAAAAAATTGGAGGAGATAAAGCCCAGGATGGGAGAGAGATGAGGTCCTTCTGCAGGAACCACCTGTCCAGAGACTTAAATTTCTTAAAGACCTAATTCTCAGGATCCCCTTGTGAAGTGTGTGGGCTCCAGTGTTCATTTCCAGGATAGTCCTTCCAGTCATTTCTCTATCATGTAGGGCAGGATGGCTTCCCGTCTGTCTCCAGTGTCCTGGAGGGCTGGGAGCTTCCTGGGCAGCTCCCTCCCTTATGCCAGTTTTCTAAAAACTTGGAATTGTCAAGCTTTCTTGGATTCTTTGCAGTTTTCTCTCTACGGGGGAAGGTTTTCTGAAGTTTTAACATTAACAGGATAAATGACAGCTTTTTCTGAGCCATTGGGCAGGTCTCTTTGTCAATTGTCTTTTCAGATAACAAGTCTGTTTGTGTATAGATAAGCAGAATTCTGAACAGAATTCTGCCCAGCTCAAGCTCTGGGCACTTTTATGGTGGTGTAAAGTTTAGATGCTTGTAGCCTTGAATATGATATTCCTCATGTGAGCAATTGTTTTTGCTCTACCTTTTGTAAATAATTGACCTCTCAAATGGGGATGTTGTTGTGGTTTTTTAATCTCAGCTGCAAATTGCAGAAAGCAAACTGGTGGTTATTTGGCTCAATAACTTTCAGATGAGTGTACAGAATTTTTGAAACTTTTAACATTTTTAAACATCCATTACATTCAGTATTAAATATCTATTGTGTATCAGTTGAACCAGGAAGGTCCGTTTAAGAAAGCAGGCCATATCTGAAAAACCTTGTAGATCTGTACGTAGTTCACTAAGTAACTAATATTTATGGTGATAAAATTAATATCTACTGTTTATGGTCTTTATGACCTAGTATTCACTATGATTGAAGACAGCTACTCTATGGGGTGATTTTCTGTATTACAATAAATGCTGTTGATTTGGTTTTGAAACATGTTATCAGTGAGAAAGAAACACTAAAATTGCTGTGGTCAAGTAGCAAAGTTTAATTTCTTGAGGTTCTGATTCAATTCAATATTAATGACCAAGAGAAATATTGAAATCAACTGGGCTACATAGCTATAAGCTTGGGTGCCAACTTGTTTTATGTGAAAATACTGTTTGTCTGAGTTAAACAGCTAGAGATATGATTATGATTATGGTCACTATAGTTAAGCGATGATCCTCATTATTATAATAAGGTTATGCAAAGCAGATAATAAAATTAGTTTCGCCGGTGTCCTCATTTTGGCTGGAATAAGGTTAATTTTCTTCCTAATAGCTGGTATAGTGCTGTGTTTTGGATTTAGTAGGAGAATAATGTTGATAACAAACCGATGTTTTTAGTTGTTGCTAAGTAGTTGCAGTGCTTGTACTAAGTCAAAGGGCTTTTCAGCTTCCCATGCTTTGCCAGCGAGGAGGCGCACAAGAAGCTGGGAAGGGATGTAGCTGGGAAGGGACACAGCTGACCCAGAGTGGCCAAAGGGATATTCCATACCATGTAATGTCATGCCCGCTATATAAAACTGGAGTTGTCCATAGTTGGGAATCGCTGCTCAGGGATGGGCTATGGATCACTGGCTAGTGAGCAGTTGTTACGTTGTGCATCACTTCTTTTTGTATATTCCTTTATCAGTAGTATTATTATTATTTCTTCTTTCTTTGCCGTCCTATTAAACTGTTTCTATCTCAACCCATGAGAGTTTTTTCCAATTTTCTTACCCATCCAACCTGGGGAGGAGCGAATGAGTGGCTGCGTGGGGCTTAGCTGCCGGTTGAGCCTAAACCACAGCAACCAGCCTTTCAAGAGCTTTTTGTGTGGGTTTGTTTTTTTTTTTTAAGGCAACTTTTGACTCTTGTGCTAGTCTTCAGTAAAAAAAGAAATCATGATCCCCATCTGGTATTACTGTAGCCAGTTCCTTGAGTGATGTTACCTGCGTACAAATGTAAGGCTTGTATTTTAAGCGCTAAATAGTGATGTGAGATTGATGAATGCGGTTTTGACAGTACCTGTGCTTAATCAGAGTCCTTAGGTGTGTGTGGTTTGCAGAGAAATATCAAAGACAGGGCAACAGCCTTGAATTACTATTTCCAAGAAATAATACCGCACAGAATTCTACGTGGTCATTTGTAGTTAGTGGAAGATTCTCCATATTTAGTTCCCCCCAGTACAGTGTGTGTACTGGGGTATCGGACTCCAGGATTGTCACGAAACCCTGCTGAATTTGCATCATGATGGTTATGTTGTTCTGTGCTGTTTGCCTGTGTGGGCACAGGAATACTCCCTTCTGCTCAAGTGGGGGAGTTGATGAACACTAATCATTGCTCCATTCGTCGGGGGGCAGCTAAAGTTTGGTTTTAACACTTCTGCCTGTAGAGAAGAAATTTAACAAATGTCTTGCCTATACATATGCACACACTTTATTTTAATTATTTTAAAGGAATTTGGGACCAAGAATGTGAGAACTTTTCTTTTTTCTTTGCCTCCTCTCTTTCTGCAGAGGAAATGTTTGACGGTCATCAATAAAAGATTAAATCATCGATGGCTATCGGGGTAAACTAAACACATTTCGGGTGTTGATGCTGGCATAGTAGGAACTTTTCCAAGATGTTTCAGGCCTCATTCTCTGGTTTGTTTAAGGGCAGAGAATAAGGTCACAAAGGAAATCAAACCCTGATGTGGAGGAATGAAACATGAGGCCTACTGACTTCTAAAAAACATTCTCTAAGGTTTCATTTTATACTGAAGGCAGCTGTAATAAGTTTTGGAAGATGGTGTAAGGTTTCCATTAAAGAGAGATTTTTGCTTGCTGTTTTTGTACCCAAATGAAGGAGCGAGGGAGATGGAATTAGTGCTTATTTAGTATAAGGTGAGAAACTCAAAGTTCTCTCCAGAACTGTAAAATAGTAATTTATATGTTCTACTGTAATTTAGAAATTAAAAAATATTAAACTGTTCCTAGATCTTTGAAAATGACACACATAGCTGTGGAATAATTTAATAACTGCAACACGAATGCACTTTTGCCACAAGTAAAATAAGACTGCTGCTTTGTAGTATGCTGCCAGCGTAGCCTCAGTGAATAAATTCCCAGTAGATGTTTGCCGCATGCCAAATATATTGGACTGTATAAAAGATCCCATTGTTCCACGGGCATCATTATTTGCTATTACACTCGCAATGTTTGGTTGTGAAACAGTTTATTGGAAACGAGTATGTTTAAGAAGGAACGCTTGGTTTGAAATTGAGTTGATTTGGCTCATAATGTCAAAGCTTTTACAGTGTACAGCCTCTAAAGATAAATATTGAGGTCTGCAGTTCTTTACTTCAAGAGAATTCCTGGAGAAGGGCTGGGAAATGGGTGTTTCACTTCTAATTCATAGGTTGAAGGTATATGTAGATCAGTATTAATTTTCTTTTCTTATAAAAAGAAGAGGGCAGAGTTAAGGTTGCATGAAGAAGGCAGTGAGTTCCTGGCCAAGCTGGTGACATTGCAGCTCTGAAGGTTTTCTGGGGAGGGTGGCAGTGCCCATCCTTCTCCAGGATAGTAAAATTGAGTAACCAGGGCTGTCGTTCAGGGGACTTTCTCTGCCGTGATGCTCGAGTGAACGGTGTTTATGCTTTGCTCACTGGCTGCTGGTGGCCTGGGGAGTTGGGCTCATGTCCTGCTCAGCGCCCAGATTTTAGCAGTTTTTAAATTGTGCTTAGTGAGGGTGATGGAAAGCTGCCTCCCTGTTGAAGCTGAGGGCAAGGCTCCTGTCGATGCTTTGCCCAAAATCTGAGTATATCACACCCACAAAACTGGAATGGGAGCGCTGGCTGCGGTGACTCTCTGGGTACCCCGATGGTGCAGGTTGCACTCGGTATACCCAGCGATATAAGCTCAACCAAGAACATTTGATTAGTGCTTAAGGAAGTCCATACATTAAAAATCTCTATTGGCTTATATTAAATACACTGCTCTTTTCCAGGGAACTTTTATAGGATCACAGAACGGTTTGGGTTGGAAGGGACCTTAAAGACCACCTAGTTCCACACC